TTTACTTAGTCGTAAACTATTGAGCACTAATTGTTACGAGATACTACGTGTTACATAAAATCACTTGATCAAACTATCTCGATAACTATCGGCAATCGCAAGTTTCTTTTTTCCTATAAATTCTCTTCTGTACGTGCCCGAAGTCTGACAACATTAATTACCGTCTTTTAAGTGTGCAAGTGGCCCTGCATTCTATCAGTGGATTTAGGCCGAATTTCGAGTTGGAAGTTAAGAAAAATGACAGATTTTTACTTGGAACAAAGAGTTTAACAGTGGTTCTTTCAATTTAACTAAAACAGTATCGAAATTCAGTTGAGAATCACCTTAGGCCCAAAATAACAGAAAAAATATCTCTGCGTAGGAGCTTATTGATTTAGATATATCAGTTCATTGAAAGCACTGAGTCGTATATTATCTTAAAGTGTGTTCACGGCACAACTGACTGGAAAGGTCTCAGTGAAAGAGTTCAGAGGGTGGTCTTAACGTGACGGTAGTTAAGGAGCGATGACCGGGTATCGAAATGATTCTCCCTAAGAAAGCAATTGAAATTCGTTACTTACATCGCTCGCCTTTCAGTTTGGAGAAAGACTAAGTTTTTTGAAACAGAATAATGTTGAAATTCTAAGACTGAAAACGACCATGATCCTGAAAAACGTGCCTCGCTCACGAGGAGGGAGCTGAAGGAGCAAAGGATGAGTACGAAAAGGATCTTCAGTATAATGGTTAGTTTTATACCAACTCATGCCATTTAAACTCAGAAAGTTCGGAGTATAAACCGCAAACCGAACATTATATTAACAGGAATACAGTCATGCAGTTTTATAAACTTTGTCAATGTTATGTCAAGTCTCTTCATATTTGTATGATAATTCTGAAACTGACAGAAACGCCCAAACAGGTGCATATAATATCACGTAAAATCCCTGAATGGCACATTACGTTTTCCAAATCAGAACTCGGGAAAAAATATCTGAATTTTCTTTAACACTGCCCTGAAATAAACAATTACCCCCATAACTAAAGCGAATAAACCCTGAAATGTTAGTCAAGATATATTTATTAATATTGGATTGACGTTTACTTTCCAACTTGAGTAGCTTTTGGGGGAAGTTGTATCTCTTAGCTTTATCATTAATAGTCTGATATCACTTAACTTGTAAAATAGATAGCAGACACTTTTTCGCAGTATTACACTCTAATTTCATCACGTTCTTTTGTTTAGTCTTAAACTATTGAGCACTACTGCCGTCTGCATAAAATCACTTGATCAAACTTTCTCGATAACTATCAGCAACAACAAGTTTCTTTTTTCCTGTAAATACTTTTACGTGCCCAAAGTATGATAACACTGATTACCGGCTTTAAGCTGGGTCTTCAAGCCAACCTTCCTTTACTGAGGCGCAAAGTTCTGAAGCAAAAGCAAAATTTATATATGCGCCTTTCGGGAGCGACTACACAGGAAATAGGGCCATGTATGAAGTCATTAGTACGGCTGTAGATACAATTGAGAACGATGAAGGGAGTTTACTTATTTTTGGTGGCCGTCAGCGGGCTTTTGTTGTGGCTCGGTGTACTCGGCCGTGGAGGACTTGTTTGTTGTTTAATTTGTATACGGCGAAGAAACAAATGAGCCAAACAAACCGCTCGATGCCTGATAAAGTGTGCAAGTGGCCCTGCAGTCTATCAGCGAATTTAAGCCGTATTTCGAATTCGCAAGTTTAGAAGTAAAGCTACGAAAGATGACAGATTTTTACCTTGAATAAAGCGTTTAATTAAGACAACAAACAGTAGTTCTTTCAATTTAACGAAAACAGTATCGAAACTCAGTTGAGAACCACCGTGGTCTCAAAATAACAAAAAAATATTTCTGATTAGGAGCTTATTGATTTAGATATATTCATTGAAAGCACTGAGTTGTATTAAGTTATCGTAAAGTGTATTCACGGCACAACTGTCTGGAAAGCTCTCAGTGAAAGAGTTCAGTGAGGGTGGTGTTAACGTGACGGTAGTTAAGGAGCGATGACTGGATATCGAAATGATTCTCTGGAATTCTCCTTAAGAAAGCAATTGAAGTTCGTTACTTATATCGTTCGCCTTTCAGTTTGGGGAAAAACTAAGTTTTTTGACACAATAATGTTGAAATACTAAGACTGAAAACGACCATGATCCTGAAATAACGCGCCTCGCTCACGAGGAGGGAGCTGAAGGAGCAAAGGATGAGTACGAAAAGAATCTTCAGTATAAAAGTTAGTTTTATCAGTTTTATACCAACTCATGCCATTTAAACTCAGAAAGTTCTGAGTATAAACCGCAAACCGAAAATTAACAGGAATACAGTCATGTAGTTTTATAAACTTTGTCAATGTTATTCAGGTTATTCAAGTCTCTTCATATTTGTATGATAATTCTGAAACTGACTAAAACGCACAAACATGCAGGTGCATATAATATTACATAACATCAGTGAATAGCACATTACGATTTCCAAATCAGAACTCGGGAAAAAATATCTAAATTTTCTTTAACATTGCCCTGAAATAAACAATAACCCCCATAACTAAAGCGAATAAACCCTGAAATATATGTCGAGATATAAGTGTGAAGCGTTCGCCGAGTTGTAGAAGCCTTTATTTTTTTCAGTTCAGTAAATTAACCCACGCTTGCCGGTCTTTCTGAAACTAAACTTGGGACGAAAACTTTTTTCAATGGCTTTGCTTTAACGCCTGATTGCAGAACAAAAAAGTACCGCACAAGCTGAAATTTGATTGCACGTTTTTCAGTAGGAGAGTGTTGTTATATGTGATTTCCACGGTTGGTCGAATATTTCAAGGATGAAGCTTAAATAATTGAGCGTCTTGTCGCGATACCTCGCTTATTCCCTTTACATGACATTTTCGCTAACAAAACTAAAATCCTAATAGTTTCATTTTATTACTACTAATGAAGCGATGGAGACCGAAACAGGAAAAAATACATGCATGCGTAGCTTAAAAACTAATTAATACTAATAGATTTGTTTTAGTAGGGGATATCATTTCTACGGTTGGTCGTTTTGAGTTTTAGTAATTTTTAGACTTGAAGTATGCGACTCTGACCGAGGTGACTATTCTTTAGTTTGTAATGATTCAGTAATGTCCCCGTCGATATGATCAATTTGTCTCTGAGAGCAACTCACCACTACTTTTCATGTCTGCGATTTGAAATCAGGTATTGGTAAGCCGATCTTACTGTTTGATTCATGCCACCCCGCTTATTTCAAGCACATAAGTACATGTATGTTTAACTCTGATTTAGTCTACAGAAAATCATTAGCCAAACCTAAAACATGTACAGTTTAGGGACTTGTCAGAAGTTAGCAGGGGAGGAGGGGGGTGGGAATTTTAAATTTGGGTTCGGAAATCAGGTGACTCATCCCTGCAATGAGAGTGAAATTTGCTAACTCTCCCCTTGAGCTTGGCCTAAAATATCATGACCCTCCCCACCTTACAGAGTTGAAAGAAAAATGTTCCAGGTTCGTAAATGTTCCAGGTGCTCTTAAAGTATTCCAAGCCAACAAGAAAAAAAAAGGGAAACAAAAACAAAATAAAAGGAAAGCAAAAAAAGCCAGGACAAAAAGAATGGAAGTAAACTGCAAAAGAGTTATTCAAACCATTGCACCTCAGCAAGAGTCGCATGATGTTACAGAGCCTATTGGTCCATTTAATCTCTTCATTCATTATGAAGGAATAAGTGGGTTCCTCAAAACACAAAGGCCATATATTCAATATGCCTTTGAGAAGGGATTGTTCACCAATGAATCACAGGAAATTATCAAGCAATATCTACGCTTAAATGAAAAATGAACTTAAATGAAAATCATGATGATGATGAAAGTGATTGTATCAATGCTGATGACATAAATGATGATGATCAAGATGCTCACACCAGCATTGATGGTGATGCTGAAGACAGTGACGAAAAGGATAGCCGAAACTCTAATAACATTAATAACAACATTATTCATAATAAAAATGCAATAAGACTCTATGGCATTGTTATAAATGAAAAGTAGAGGTTTGTTTAATTCTTGCCATAGTACTTCACAGTTTATATCCATAATGTTCCGTTGTTCTTTGTGTTTTCTTTTTTTTATTAAATAAGAAACTTCCTTTTTCTTCTGTGGGCGAACCTCTACATGATCATGGGCATATATTTGCATGACCCTCCCTCTTTTAACGGCAGATTTTTCATGACCCCTCCCTTTTCGGAGTCTCAAAAAGTGGTGACCCTCCCTCTGTTTCCACCCCCTCTCCCCCCTGCTAATTTCTGACAATTCCCTTAAAGAGAAATTGTTAAGTTACCAAATATAAAGTTACAATAATGATGAATCTGTCAGGGTTTATTAAGAAAGTCAGTTTTACAGCTTACCAGCGGACAAGCTATACCGAGCATGTGCTAGCCCAATAGACACTTAACTAGCCCCCAAAAAGAATTTTTAACGAGCAGGATTGATAAGAGTTAAGTAAAGGCAGTTTTAAGGGATGCTTGTCAACTGGAGACAGTCCTCTCCCCCTATAATACACTGTAAGTCATGTAACAGTTTCAAAGTTGGACGTTTGCTTAGTGTCGTGAGGGTTAAAGAGATGCTTTACCTGAAAATCTGAGGAAAACCACTGCGCAGAAACTATTAATGCTTTATTTAGTGAAAATTGTTGGAATTAACTCTTAAATGTTTTTTGGGAGAGCCTTTATGAGTTATCAGATTGTTGCCCGCTGAAATCGAGTAGAGCATCGTAAAATACTTTGTTTTTGCTGAAAAAAAACCGCAGAAATCTTAATAGTAGAACAGCTTCGACTTTCCGCTTGTACAAGCGGCCAATCAATTAATGTTTCCCCTTTATCCTTGTCTCCTTCTCTTCTCTTCTCTCCTGTTGTCTTTGCTTGGCAGGAATGTGCTGATTTTTTCCTGTTTAACAAAGAATTCTCTTTTTACTTTACAGAGCGTTGTTTGGTGTTCACACATGTCTTCGATTGCAACATTTTTATTTAACGCCACAATCGGTTGGCTCGTGAATAAAGGAAGAGATGTGACAGCAGAAAAGCTAAAAGAAGGCGACGTGACGGATAAAAAAGTCCGTGATTTGATAGTGCGTGAAGTGGAAGATATCAAGTCAAAGTTGGACGGATTATCAAGAAAGGATCTCCTGGCAGCTGTGGATTCCTTTGAAACAGGAGTCAGGTTTCTCTTTCAGGCACTCGATGTAAAACCTAGTGGGGAAGCCAGTACCGCAACAGAAAAGACCTCTGTGGCAATCAAAGAAGAGAATGTTGACTTAACAGATGTCGTAAAGATAGTTTCCTTTGCCTCAGAGATGGAAAAGATTCAGAAGATTGATCTTGATGAGGCGACAAAGATAAAATTTTCTCAAGCCGAAAAGAGATTCAAAATGGCCCGTGAAAAAGCAACAGAAGCCTCCAACAACGAAGCTCTTGAGGTTTTTGACCGGATCACAGCCATTCGATGTCGTGTCATGGCAGCAATATTAGAGTCAGTGGTAGAGACAGCGAGAACCGCGGGTGACTTGTCCCCAGAAACTGTAAAGAGTACATTGGAAATGCATTAAACGAGTGCGATCAGTGCCTTCAGAAACTTCATTGTCTTCCAGCTGTTCAGGACTGTTTTAAAGTTGGACTGGAAAAAGGTCTCCTAAATTTGAGAGGGCGGTTTGGTAAAGATGAGCGAAGAAGGATAATCTCCACGGTGTGCCAGGTAAATCGCGCCATCTACAATGCGACACAAGCAGTTGGTGGAGACGCCTTGGTCTGGCCACTTGTCGACACTGGAGAAGAAAAAGTTGATCCTCTGCGCGATGGAAGAATATCAAAGGTGTTGCACAAAGTTAATATGGAGCACTGCTTTGTTTCACCATGGTCATTTGGTCACGAGGGTGAAGAGGAGCACAAGCTGAAGAATCCGTGGGGTATCGCTACAAACCATAGAGGACAATTCTTGATAGCAGACAATGGGGATAAAACCGTGAAGGTGTTTGATAGCAACGGAAAGTTTAATTTTAGGTTTAATCCTCAAACTGATGACGCCGATACAGAGTTAGATATTTTGGATGTCGCCACTGCAGGCGAGGACGACAGGATTTATCTTCTGGTCAGACTGAGGAAGAAATGGGAGAAGGAAGTGCAGGTTTTTAACAAGACTGGTGACCTACAGCACAAGTTCCCCGTGAGGAGCGGGGACTGGGACAGACTAACAGTGACCAGCGGCAAACAACGCGGCAAAATTCTGCTGTTGTCGAGACATGCCCTTGATAAGGGCGTTGTTGATGTTCATGAGGCGAGTGGCGAGTTCGTTTGTAGCTTTGGTGGAGGAGTGTTCAAGCGTGCATCAGATATCACTGCTACTTGTGATGGTCGCGTCATGATAGTGGACTGGGGCGATGACAGTTTTTACATATTTGATGTGGAGGGACACCAGCTTGGCAAATTTAATATCAAACATGAGAGACATTTCTATTATCTCATTGTATGTCACCCGGCAAGTGCAGACCGTGTTGTCCTTGCTGGTCATGAACGAGAGACACGCCGCCTGACGCTGGCTATATATACTGTTAACGGCGAATTTGTTCGCAGAATTCAGCTGGATGAAGTAGTATTGTTTGATTTCCGTGGAATAACAGTACGTGGAATAATAATAACAGTGACCGTGGAGGGTCACATTGCTGTGGCTTTATTGCAGGAGATTACAGACGAGGGTATTCGCAAAGGAAAGGTAATTGTTGTTTAAAACTAAAAAATTCGAAGACACAAGTCAACAGTTCTTATTTTACTTTCATGAATAAATGTCATCAAGGCAGATGTTTAAATTTAATGCTGCAGTTGATTGGAATCACTGGACATGACTGCATTAAGCCACATACACTGGCTTAAGTTCACTGATGTTTGTAGTAAATCTTGTGTTATAGCTCTAACCCTCGAAGTGAAAATCATTTTAAAAGAGTCAAAAATGAAGAGTAGAGTAATATTGATTTTCTTTTTCGGGAAATTTTTGTAGGCGTTTCTGCTGCTGAGTTAATTAACTCTATTGAACATAATTATGAACAACAAGCAAACAAAACCTCAGGAAAAAAAAGTTGTTTAGGGAGCAAAACAAAGCGAATAAGGTGTCGACTGAGAGTTTATGCTTCAAGTTGTTTTTTGCATATTAACTTGAAAAGAAGCTATGACATCATTGCCTGTAACAAAATGCTGTAAAATTAATATTATGGCCTTGTGCCCAAATCTTAATCAGCTAACAAGGTCATAGGATTTTGTCGTATGATAAACATGTGGAAAAAATAAAAATATATATTAATGTAAACATGCCTATTTGTCTGTTATTCGACATTTAATAAATAAATAAGCATTAGATGTTTATTATTAATTGGATAAACCTAGCCTGGTCATGTCCAGTGAAGCCAACCAACTGTATACATGTAGGAAAATGCAAAACTTTGCCTTTGATGACATTCATCACGAAAAAATTTGCACTGTTCACTTACTGTTGTGTCTTCGAGTTTATTAGTTTTAAACAACTAATAATCAAAGGGTGTGTGGAAAAAAAATTGATAACTTTTTTTTTAGATTTCTAGGTATTTTTAGGTTTTCATGCCTGTGATTTGACAGACTGCAATTTTTATTAACATGTATATAACACTAAGTAATCTATGCATTTGGTTTGGGACACGAATTTTCAATATCCAGATTAAGATAATCAAGAAGCCAATTAAGAAGGTCTAAATTCCTTGTTGAGAAAGACAACAAGAAAATGGCAGAGTGATTTTTATTGAATAGCTGATGTTAGTTTATACAAGTGCCAAACTTTCCAATTACTTTATAGGGGCAGTGTCATCAAGGTTTTGTGCTACTTCGATCAAAATCCAACAAATGCATAATTATATCATTATGGAAATCCACTGATTCACTATTTTCACATAAACCATAATGCACCTTGTTTACCCCCAAAATTTTGCATCGAAATTCTTTTCAATATTCAATGTTTCCCTTGGGATGACTGTAATATCCAGGAGAAACTGAAAACAAAATGCAAAATTTTGGGGGTAAACAAGGTGCATAAATTATGGTCTATGTGAAAATGGTGAATATAGTAACATTAATGGCCTCTATAGGAGTCATTAAAAAGAGAGAAAGAAAACTTAAGTCGACAAATCCTTTAAAAAGTTGGGCCGATCCGTTTTCAAGTTTGCTGGAGTTACATCAATTGGAAAATCTTTTCAAAACCATTAAAAAGATATTTTTATTATTATAGTTCACTTGCGCTTTTCAGAACGATTTGATGTCTTTCTCGTCATTCGTGTCATTTTCTGCAACTCTGGGTCCTAAACGGGCCTTATAGCAAAGTAGGAGTATAGTGTATTTTGCACAAAACACTCAGGGTTGGTTATTAAAAAACAGAGCCTTACTACTAGAATGAGGTTTAAAAAAATGTCTGGGTCCCCAAAATAGATGTTAAATGATTTTTCAGCCTACCCGGGAAGCCTTTTTGATGCTCTTAACAACAAACAATGTTTTCTAGATATGAGCGGTAAGGATGGTAAAATAATTGAAAAATGACTTAGAATGCGAAAGTTCTGTCAAACACCACCTAAAATTTGTTTTAATAACCAGCCTTTAGTTTCAATCTCTAGATTCACAATTACCTACATGTGCCCAAAGCAAAGTGGCCTTAAAGGGAACAGGTCATAAGTTGGATGTGTCCAGATTATGTAAACTTTTGTACCACAAATCGAGTTAAAGTTAATATGTACTTAGCCTTTGTGTGTTTAACAGAAAGCTACATGTACGTAAGTGGAGTAAATATTTCTTACCGGTATCTCTTAATTAGTGTTAGCCCTTTGTGGGTTTATAAACGGAAAGCTTTGTAAGTATGCCACGTTATTAATAGTGCCCAAGCGTAAGTAGGTCAACATGGCTGGAAATTGTTAGGGGTGTCAATGTTTTAATGAAATAATACAAAGTTTGTGATCAACGAGTTCTTTAACCTACGTAGACTAGCTGGCGGTTTCATTTGGGGTGTTTGAGAGACATCTCAAACTTTACAAACTACAAACGAAAATAACACCCTGCACACAGCAAACAAACCGCCAGCTGCAGTGCGGGCTACAAGTTCTTGGACACTAAGTGTTTTGTTGCAAGTTTTCCTTGGTTTTAATATGAAAGTTTTTTTGTTTCTTAAATAAAATGAACCAAGGATGAAAAAATGAATTTCTACATAGGCATACCGATAATTCAAGACAGAATCCACCAGGAAATTGAGTGACTTTAATTTTCAGTGGAAAAAAAAAAAAAAAAAACAGAATAATTTAAACAATTTTGCATTCTTTTTTTACATTTTTCAAGGGCTGAAGATGTAATAAATCATCTGTAGTAACACCAAAGAAAATTTCTTATGAAAGTCCGAGAAAATGAATGTCATATTTCACGAGAATTGTAATTACACATTTATTCTGAAAATTTCATGTGATTCCGTGTCACTACAGATGATTTATCACATCTTTAGCCCTTGGAAAATGTAAGAAAGAATGCAATATGCTTTGAATTATTATGGTACAAGATTTTTGTCCTCTGAAAATCAAAATTACTCAATATCCTGGTGGATTCCGTCTTAATTTTTTTCAGCATTTACATCGTATCTTTATCATGACTGAAATGTAGCATTGTAATAGCATTAGTATTTTGTTAATTCCTATGTTTTATTTTCAATAAAATTAAATGTGTTACTGGTTTACTTTTTTATAAAATACATGGGTTTTTTGTTTTGAACTGAACACAGGGGGGAGGGATGAGGCAGTGGTCAGAGCACTCGACTCTCATCAATTTGGCCTGGGTTCAGGTCGTGCTATGTACACTATATATGGGTTAGGGACCGGTCATTATTTATTGCCTGGGGGGGAAGAGGGGAATTTTAGGGGGGATCACTAGATTTTTGGGAGAACAAAAGGGGGATCAGTCATAACTGAGAACCCAAAAGCCGGGATCGCTGAAAACTTCGGAAGGATTCAGAGGAGGGATCACTCAAATTTGCTTGGAAAATGAAGACGGAAGGGGAGGGGGTGGGTCACGAAAGTCATCAAAAGTTGTTAGGGGGATCACTTTAGTGAAGTAACATTCAAAGGGGGTATCGGCTAAATGAACACACCAATGAACGCGCGAAATTAATGAAAATTGCCACCCGCGAGGAAGGTGACCCGCATGCGGTGCTCTCTTTCTTTCCCGCATCACCTTTCTCACGGGTGGTGAGGAAAATGACAGAATACTTGTTTTAACAGCAAAAAAAAATAAAGCATTGTTAAGTAACTGTGGCGTCGAGTTTTCCCTGGAAGCAAAGAAGCTAAGCGACGTATAATTTTAAATGATTTTTAAGGATTGAACAGATAAGCTGCATTTTTAGGATAAGATGAACTTTTATCACGAGGTTACAGTATAGCTCTGCCGGACGACCAGCTCGTTATCTCAAAACCCTCCGCGTTGATACAAACTCCCCACTGGCAGATTCAGATGCTGACTTCTCTGGTGAAAAAAGAAGGTACAATGAGACTTCCTGGATACAGATGTTCTAGGAAGTGGGGCACCGCCCATCCAGATCTAAGATAAACGGGGGGAGGGGAGGGGGCTGCAGGTTTCAGCTGAGGCCTAAAAATAAGGTGCGATACCCGCAGGAAATCCCAAGCGGACTAGATTACTGTGAAACTCAGAAACCGTGAACACATGAAAAATTTCAGGAAAGTTATTGGGGACCGGCCAAAAAAAATGCACTTTATTTGAGTGTCAATGTATTTAGCAGGAGAGTACTATCTGGGGACACTATTTTTACACGGGACCGCAAATTGGCGTGGTCATCCAAGCCACGCGAAGGTCTAGCCAAAGTGTTAGCCAGAAGGGTGTCCAGCCGTCTTATGGACGCCCATTTTTGGAAGAAACACAAGGAAAATTCACCTAATCTCTTATACGTTTACGGGAAAACATGCCTTCTGGACGGCCAGTTTTCAATGTCTGGCTAAAAGCCTGGGTCTAGCCACTTACAGGTTAAAGGAGTACCTTCATTTCTCAGTTATTTTAAGACCTTGAGTATTGGTCCGCCCTTGAGAATCGAACCCGTGACCTCCCGCTCCGCAGTTAAGCGCTCTACCGACTGAGCTAACCCTGCCCGACCAATCACAATAAAGTTTAAGATACGAAAGGAATCCTCAAAACCACAAACTAATTACCACTACTGTTTGCAGTTTAGTTATCTCACGCCTTATTGGCTAATTTCTCGCAACGCAATAACATGCCATAAATATTTCTGGTGTTGAAATTGCAAAGGTCTTCCCTGCAATGAGAAAGTGAGTACGATAGGGACATACCACTTTCACGAACTTAAACTTCTCTTGTTTCTGGACATGTCAATAAGACGTGGCATTATCAGCTCTGGGACGAGGTCATTTTTAACAGTAACCGAGACCCTCTCTGGTACTCTCGGAGGGTTAAAGAAACACTTAACAGCATCAATAGGGACAGTGGAATTGAGAATCCTGATACGAGGATGCCTACAGTCAGACACCGATCAGTACAACACAACAGCGGACCGCTGAAGGAACAGTCATCTCCTCTAATGCCAACAATGTTTTAAATTTGGTCCAAAATAAAAACGTCTGTGGATTTCAAAGTCAGGGTTGTGATTATTCA